ATTAGGGTTGCTGGCGTCCAGGGGTTGCCACCTGCAGACTTCCCTCTGCTACAATTTATCTGCAGAATTTATCTGGAGAAAATGGCTGCTTGGGAGGGAGCACTCTATGGCGTTATGCCCAGCTTAGATCCCTCCCCTCCCCTCCCCACACCCCACCCTCCCCAGATTCTACCCCTAAAATCTTTAGGTATTTCCCAACCCAGAGCTGGCAACCCTCGCAATCCTAAATGGCACAGTCTCTCTCTCCTCATTCTGCAGCATCTGTGCACCCAGCAAATCTGGGAAGAAGAGGTAGTCTAGAATCAACCAATACTGAACTACCAACTCACTGAGCCACTAAGGCTTTGGGGACCCACATCAAAGCACTGCGATATTTGACCAAGAGACAGAATCTGGGATGAAAGTAGGCTTGCCAGCCATTCCCAGCAACCAGCAGGAGGTATAGGGGGAGGGGGAACACGATAATAGGCATCACACCAACACTGCAATGTCACTTCTGGCATGAACCTGGAAGTGATGTCATTGTGTCAGCTCTAGGATTCCAAAACTCTATGGTTTTACCATATCAAATCCTAGAACATTGCACTGATGTCACTTCCAGGTCTGTGTTGGAAGTGACACTGCAGTTTTTGGCATGATGCCTATCCCTCCCCCCTAATTTCCCCTGGTCAGTCTACTGAGTGGCAGCAGGCAACCAGGGCTCCAAGGTATGGCCACCATAGCTGGAAGCTACCACTTACCCCAACCCGTTTTTCTTCTGCTGCTGACAGGAGGTGTTTTGCCTCAGCAGCAGAAAATGTGCCCACAGGATCAGCCTAGAACACTTTGGCAACCACTTAAATCCCTGGGAAGCTCTTAAATATCAACCCAATAAGACCTTGGGCAGGACACCAAGGGTTTCACATTTGATTTTATGCTTATATAGAATGTGCTTACTATGTTCTGTCCGGTCCAGGTCCTAGCCCTGATTTGACCCCCCCACACACAACCAATTAAGGTTGTCAGGTCCCCTCGTTGTCGCAGCGGGGGAATTTTTCTACAAAAAAAGCCCTGGCCACCATAGCTGAAATCTACCGCTTACCCCAACCCATTTTTCTTCTGCTACTGACAGGAGGTGTTTTGCCTCAGCAGTAGAAAATGTGCCCACAGGATCAGCCTAGAACAGCATTTCCTAGTTTTTTGGCAACCACTTAAATCCCTGGGAAGCTCTTAAGTATCAACCCAATAATTTTGGGGGGGGCATTCCGGGGGGTGTCACACTCACCATCCCCAACTCAATTATGTCACACAGAAGTGACATCATCACATTGGTGATGTCACGCACAGCGCTCTGGTTTTTGAGCAAAACTCTATGGTTTTTTGCCTTCCAAACCACAGATTATGCCCAAGTACCAGAGCATCCCAGTGTGACAATGTCACCTGGAAGTGATGTTATTGCGTTGGGGACGTTGCACAGTGATGTCCCTGTTTGGGCCTGGCAACCAAGCAGGGAAGCAGTGAGAGCAACAAGGGCCCCAACCAACCTGGTAGCAACCACAGTGGCAGGAAGAGAGGTGGGAAGTCACCCAGGGTAAAGAAGAGCCTGCAGCCAGGCTGAGCCCGGATGGCGGACAGGGAAGGAAGGCTTCCCGCCCTAAGCAACAGGAAGAAGGGGAAGGAGATGGAAGGTTGGCAAGCCTGGAGAGCAGGTAATTGACCACCTCCCTCTATCAGTTCCAGAGGGAAGTGGAGACAGGGTTGAATGGGGGGGGGGGGGAGGTGGGACCCAGGCTCAGATAAAAGAAGGGCTTCCAAGCTAGGCCAGGGAGGAAGAAAGCTGAGTGCACACAACTCAGGAGAAAGGGCGAGTGAGCCTGTCAGGGGAAGGAAGAGGATAAAGGCGTTGTGACCCCCTCTCTTTTCCCATTCCAAGGCCAGTTGTGAAGCCTGCCTGACCTTAGCCAGGACAGCGGAGGGCAGGCATGCCGTGTCAGAGCAGAGCAGGCCTTGCACATTCCATAAGCTGTCTGGAGCATGCTTTTCATGGAAAGACAACAGAAAAATGGTCCAATAAATTATTTAATACTACACCGATTTGAGATATGGGGAACAAAGAAATTAGCACTTACACCTGCATAACTTGCAGAGGTAGATAACACTTCCCCAGGCAACCTGCTCAATTCCTACAAGATCCATCTAGCAGCCAAGGAAATCAAAGAAGCCTTCCAAACCACTCCCATTCACGGTACATGCTAGAACTTCCTTGCTACTCTTCCTGTGTTAAAGCAGTCAAAGAGACTTTCAGTTCTCAGCCCTTTGGACTCACCAAGACTGGCTTGGGCAGGTTGTCATTCTCACAGATGGTGGAGAGCGAAAGGCCAAAGAGCTTCCCTGACGAAGGAGAGGTTGGTGATGGTGGCGCATTGTCCAGTGGGGCTCCTGTGCCCCTCCAGAAGGCCCAGTTGATAATTGACCTTTTCCTTTTAAATGGCTTTTGGCTTAACTCTGAGAAAAGAAAGAAGGCGTTCATTTAAAATCTGTTAGGAGAAAAGGAATTCATATTACAGCCCTTATTTTAGTGGTTGCTATGGTTCTGGAAATGCGAAGGCAAGTTTCAGGAACGAAAATGGCTGCCACAGAGTTGGTTTTCGTCTCCTCTGTATGGTATGTGACAAAGAGGCGAATGCTTGGGCTTAAGATGACTTTCCAGGAACTGCATTTAGTGACAGAAACCCTGTTGCTGGCACATATGGGATTATGAAAAATCAAGCCTGCTGACTCTCTTTGCATCTAGATCCTTCCTGCATTAGTAATAGAAACCAGCTACAAGCTCTTTAAACGCAGTGCAGTCCTGTTCAGGGTATCCACTTAGGGTTGTTAGTACGCACTTGTTTTCATTTCTGCTTTGGGTACACACTACACGGAGATGATTTATTTTATTTATTCACTCCTTTTATAAGCTGCTTTTCTTCTCCATGGGGACCCAAAGCGGCTTACAAGGCTGTTCTCCCCTTTTCCATTTCATCTTCACAACCAGCTCCCTACTGAGGTAGGTTAGATTGGCCCAGAGTCACCCCAGCAAGTTTTAATGGCAGAGTGAGATTTGAAACCGGGTCTCCCAAATCTTAGTCTGCCACTGCCACTGCCACACTGCAAATGGTGGGCTGGGATTCTCCCACCCATCAGTTAAAGGTGTTGGCATGCATAGGTCTTTCCCATGTTCCCTCTCCCCAGTCCTGTGGGATCCATGTCCAGCCACACGTACCAGGAGGCTGCAGTGAAGAGGTGAAATGGGATGGAACTGCCATTTCTCCTTCTTCTGTCAATGCAGCTCCACTCCCAGAAGAGGCAGGAAGGACCCATTCCGTCCCATTTCCCCCTTCTCAATGGGGCTGTTAGTCCACACAGGTCCTGCAACTCTGGGAATAAATTTTCTCATGGTTGGAGAGAACTGCTAGGGGGAGGTAAAAATGGGAAAGAGACGCAGTCCTTTCACAGACTCCAGCCCACTGCTTATGCATGTACAGACAAGACAAGGTGCACATATGTGCCTGAGCACAGGGGTGAATTCACACGCAAAGATGGGAGACTGTGCAAGCCTCTATGCTTGTATGCAGTCATGAGAATGAATTTGTCTACAAGGCAGAGAAAGTTTGCACATAGTTGCGTGAGCATTTTGGGAGGCCATGTACACTCATGCACATTTTAAGAACACCCCCCCCCCCGATTAGTTTAAAATTGGGAATGGGACCATCAGACCAAACATTATTGTTCATCCTAATTCCATACCCCTGATGTGCAGCAGAATATTAATCGTGCTTTTAGGCTAAATAGTCACTTTGTCTGCTCAACATGCACTCATAGCTCACTTTTACCTTGGGAATGGAAGACTCTTTGCTAAAAGCTTGCAGTCAAGTCACCTGACTTCAAATGTGCTCCGTTTTAAAACTTATAGTGGCTGGTGAAAATTCTTTCCATAAAACATTCCATGATGTAAAATGAAAACAAATCACAGCGATGTGAAAACAGAAGTCTGGTAAATTTTACTACTGTGCTTACCTTGCTTGGGAAATTTGAGGACACATTTATGTGCATGTGTGTGTGTTTATTCAATGTTGTGAACCATGAGATCTAGACACTTAATTCCCCTCCCCCCCCGACCTAAAAAAGAATTGTGATTTTCAGCAATAAGTGGGATGCATGCTATGCATGTGACCATGACAGCTGGCCAGCAGAGGGAACTGCAGATGCTTCACCTACAAATGACAGATGAGGCTTCAAGGACAGCATTCTCCACTTTATAAACACTCCCGGAAATCCTCAGCTCTCTGGTTTCAGCGACAAACCAGCCTTCTTGCCTAGCTACTCTGTTTTCAGCCCTTGTGCCTCCCTTAGCCCTCTCCAGGTGCTGCATCTGCATCCATCCCCTAAACCCTTCTGGCCTGATGGCCAAGCTGGAATAGCTGCGGGCCACCATAAATGAGTATACCCACTGCCTCTGCTCTCACTTGGGATAATAATTACAGAGGGGTGTGACCAGACTCCGGTCCTGAGCCGTTTTGCTACGGTCAGGGGTCCAAGGGTCACATCTATTCATCCCCCAAAAGGGTACCACCTGTTGGAGAACACCAATCTGGCCTCAGCCATCAGCCAGAGAAGCAGCAGACCCAGAGGAATTTGCTTCCTCCCTCCCTGCCAGAGAGAACCACCCTGTGCTCCGCTTTTGGTTTCCCAGGGAGAAACAAATAAGAGGAAGGACATCGGAACCACAAGTCCAAGCCCTGCTGAGTCGATCTTTTTTTCTTGTTTTGTGTTGCATTTAATCTGTGTTGCACTTGGGACCACCTGACCAAAAGGTGGGGCAGAATCTTTAAAATTAGAAACGTTCTTCTGTGATTTCAGTGTTAATGTAAGAATAAGTAGTGAGGCATTGTGGTATAATGGTTAGAGTACATGCAACGCAGGGGAGACCTGGGTTCGAATCTCTACTCTGCCCTTGGTCCAATCACTCTTACACAGCCCAGTCTACCCCACAGAGTTGCTCCAAGAACAAAATGGGGGGGGGGAACCATGAGCATTGCCCTGAGCTCCTTGGGGACAAGGGAGGGATAAGAAAATGTGACAGTAATGGGAACTGCATGAATCTGGTTTCTCTCTGTGCCTGTCTTATTACTTGGCAGAAGAGAGATGCTGGCTCACCTCTCAGTTCATGTGCACAGATCCCAGCGCAGCTTGAGCCCTATGGATTGTGCCCTAACTCTACAGTGCTAGTATTCTTCACTCGGCAGGTGGGTTGTGCTTTCAAATAATTCCACACAGTTTAGCTGCCCTTTCTCAAGACAGCACTTGCAAGGAAAGAGCATTTTTCTCAGTACTCAACTCACAATTCTGTATTGCTGAGAAAACAGCAGCACGATAGCACATCAGTTACGACAGCAAATGCTTTGTGGAAAACGGCTGTGCCAAGTGTCATGGACAGCGCCCATGACATCACTTGCGGTGGAAACATCGGAAACATCCTCTCCCCCATTACTGGTCCTCTAAAAATTAGTTTTGAGAATTCTTTAAACACTGAGAGCGCTCATGCTGTAGCGCTGAAGATCGAAATTCACGTATGCGTTGTGAAGCACTGGAAAGCTGAAATGGGACTGCATGGCCAAAAATTGATTCAGAAAGCAGACACCAGCAGGGTTGCGAGCTCTGTGCTGGCAAATGCTGGAAGATTTTTGGGGTGGTGCCTGGGGAGGGTGCCCTGACCTGGATGGCCCAGGCTAGAGCCCAATCTTGTCAGATCTAGGAAGCTAAGCAGGGTTGGCCCTGGTCAATATTTGGATGGGAGACCACCAGGGTCACTACACAGAGGCGGGTTATGGCAAATCACTTCTGAATGTCTCTTGCCTACAGGGTTGCGATAAGTCAGCTGCGACTTGACAAAAAAACTGGGGAAAGTGGAGGTTCATAATCTTCTGTGATGCTCTAGGAATTTACCAATCTCTATGGTAAAGACCACAGCGACTGGGGAAATTCCTAGAGAGTCACAGAGGATGTGACATCACTTCCAAGTGACACTTTAGGAATCTTTCCAATCTGTTTCTAGAACATCACCATGGATGCTATCCTCCTTCGTTCTCCTGTTCCTCAAATAATGAGGGTGGTGGTGGGGGTTGAGACTGGGAACTTGCCCACTGTCAGTGAGTAAATGACAAGCCTAGGCACCAGAACACTGAAAACCGCCTTTGTAGTTTGCAGAATAAAGGTAAAGGTAAAGGTTCCCTTGCTCGAAAGCTAGCCGAATCCGACTTTAGGGTTGCGGTGCTCATCTCCGTTTCAAAGCCGAAGAGCCAGCGCTGTCCGAAGACGTTTCCGTGGTCATGTGGCCGGCATGACTAAACACCAAGGCGCATGGAACGCTGTTACCTTCCCACCAAAGTGGTACCTATTTATCTACTTGCAATTTCTTGCTTTCGAACTGCTAGGTTGGCAGGAGCTGAAACTAGAGACAGGAGCTCACTCCATCATGCAGCACCCGGGTCTCGAACTACTGAACTACCGACCTTCCACAGCCTGCAGTTCAGCGTCTTAACCACTTGAGCCACCGCAGCTCCAGTTTGCAGAATAGTGGGGCTGAAAAGTGCTTTAAGAGACAACCATGGGACACAGCTATCCTTTGAAGTCAAGCTACCCTTTGTCTATTACACAAGGGTAGGAAAACATGCTCCTGGCTCCGGATCGGGACTACAGCAAATGTCGCCATGTACTATTATGTCAGTGTTCTACTGAACTCAGCATGACATCCTTCTGAATAAACAGGCATGGGATCATCTCCCAAGAAAGCCGTCTGCAACAGCTCTCAAACAACAGTGTATTAATCTACACGTCACATTAAAAGATACATTCCCCTTATCTTTGTGTCTTAATTAGCCACAAGGTATAGCTAGGGGCTCTGGGGCAAGTGATGCTCTGTCTTCTTGGTGCTTGGGGGGGGGTCAACAGTGGGAGGGCTTCTAATGTCCTGGCCCCACTGCTGGACCTCCTGATGGCACTGGTATTTCTGGCCACTGTGTGACACAGAGTGTTGGACTGGATGGGCCTTTGGCCTGATCCAACATTGGCGTCTCTGATGTTCTCTTATGTTCTTAATCTATTAAGAAATATCTTGATTATTCAGAAGAAAACAGAATGCTTGCTTATTTAGCAATTTTGGAATCTTCTCTACCCAAGTTTTTTAAAACAAAAACAAAAGTAATGTTGGAGTATTTCTGCAGTTACCAAGGTTTGATGAGACCAGTGACTATACTCTGTTGCCTTGGAACAGATGGTTACATAAGTACTTGGACGCCAGACAGTCCATGGCAATAAAATATACCGCATGAAATGGTAGCAGCATCAATACAAAAGGTCTTGCTGAGAAACAAACACTGCAGACATTTAAGTGCCTATCAACTTGCAGAAAAATAGCTCTCTAAGAGACAAGGTGCCTTTGACATCAAATGGTTTGGGTGTCTTCCTGTAGCCAGGTTGAGACTTGGCCAGTTGACTTTGACAAGACAAGCAGAGCTGGAGTGTGTCTGTGCAGCAATGTGTTCCTGTTTTGGAACCCTCGGTCACGCTAAATCTTATGAAAAGCTCTATCATGCCAAATTCTGGGAAAGCCTGAACTGCTCTCCTGGGGTGTCTCAGCAGGAGGGAAGGATTTCACATCCACTTAGTTTTAGCAGCACTGCAGCACTGAGTGTTCCCAGAACCATCAGCAGGCGTAGGCCACAGCTTTTAATTACTCCTGTTTCCAAAATGAAGGCTGAGAATTCTCTATTAGATATTAAATCCCATCACAAATGATAATCTCCAGGGCTCAGTGTGGTAAGATTTTAAATGTTGAGATTCTCAAGGTTCCAGTCCTCACGGTTTCAAAGAAAATACTGAAAATGCAAGTACACAATATATCCTGAGCTATGCTTCATATATATTGTAGCACCCTGGAGGTTCTATAGCCACATAGCTGTTCTGAGATGGCATACCTGAAAAATGCAAGAGAACCTACATTTTTCAAATAGCTGGCAGGTACTGTCTTCTTGGAGATCATGGAAATGGTGAGGTAGACAGTATGTTTCATATAAAGACATTTAGAATGCTAAGAGCGTGATCATCTTAATAAGTAAACAGACAGAGCTCAAGATGGGCCCGGTTCTGAGACTTGGGCAACTCAGTTTCCTGAACTAGAGTATCTGCACCAGTGAAGATGGTGGTGGTGGTGGTGGAGGAAAGTGCCACCAAGTCAAAGCCAACTTATGGCAACCCCATAGCGGTTTCAAGGCAAGAGGTAAACAGAGGTGGTTTCCCACTCCCTGCCTCTGCATAGCAACCCCGAGCTTCCTTGGTGGTCTCCTACCCAAGAGTTAACTAGGGCCGTTAACTTAGCTTCTGACATCTGATGAGGTCGGGCCAGCCTGGGCCATTCAGGTCAGGGCCAATGAAGGCAGAGGGGGAAATTTGGGGATAATGTACATCAGACTTGGCTGCTTCATAAATAGCAAACTATGAAGCCAGGAGGAAGGGCTGGGCGAGAGGGTGGGCTTTGCAGTGGGGAAGAGCAGAAAGAGGCCTTATTCTCCCAGCTTAGTGATGCTTTTTAGAAATGAAGATGAATGCGCTATCAAATCACAACTGACTCATGGTGACCCCCAATCATGGGGGGCTCAAGGCAAGAGATGAGCAGACATGGTTTGCCATGGCCTTTCTCTGTGTAGCAACCCCAGTTTTCCCATCCAGGTACTGACTGTGGCCACCCTGGCTTAGCTCCCAAGCCTACAAGCTCAGGCCAGACTGGGATACTCAGGTTGCTAACAGAGATATTCAAGGCTACAATACTTCAAAAAAGAAGTTGCTGACATTTGGGCCTTTGTAACGTATAGGGATTTCATGGCTCACTGGCGGAGCCCCTGCTCTGCATGAAGAAGGTCCCAGGTTCAGTCCTTGGGATCTCCAACTAAAAGGTCTCCAGCACCAGGTGTCAGGAAAGACCTTCCTCCAACCCTGAAAAGCCACTGTCAGCCAAAGTAGACAATACTGAACCAGAAAGACCCATGGTCTGACTCTGTAAAAGGCAGCTTCAGGTGTTCATGGCAGACATACAGGAGTTCCTTGCCTTACAATTCAAGATGGAAAGAATTACCCAAATACAGACACTTCTAAATCCGCTGTGTCACAGATGCCAAGTATAATATGTTCTTCTCTCTCCCACCCCTTTCCTTTTCACCTTCATTTTTTAAAATAATTCTTTATTGTTTAACTTCATAAAACATTCCATCACCAACACCACCCATGTGCGACCTCCAGGTAATAGATACATAAATAAAAATCCATACAGTATTATATCACAATCAATCCAAGTACAACTCTATTGCTCTATTAAACTTCCATCTTAATCTTATAATCAAATTAACCTCTCAATTTCCTATTAACTGACTAATCATCCCATTTTTTTAAACTTTCCCAAATACCCCGCCATCCTTCTGAACCAGTCCTCCTCCTGTTCACTAACCTTTAACCCATTTATTCTACGTATCTTCATCGTAAGATACTCTAAGATTATTATATTATTAATTTTATCCCTCCAATGATTAATCGTCAGTTCCTCGGCTTCTTTCCAATTCCTTGCTATCACTTGTCTTGCTGCTACTAGCATCAAATTAATCCATTTACATTCCTCTTTTAACCTTAACCCTATACCATCCAGACTAATAAGTGCCATTGCTTTAGATGTTCTTACCCTTCTTCCCACGATCCCTGACACTTCTATACCAATCTGATCCCAGAACTTTTTTACCAAAGGACAATCCCACCACATATGACTGAACGTTCCCATCTCTCCACATTTCCTCCAACAATTTTTACTCCCCGATTTTGAAATATAGTACAGCTTAACTGGTGCAATACCATTTCTGTATCATCTTCAAACCCTGCTCCTGTATTAACCTAGACGTTGTAACAAAGGGAGGTAACCTAAAAATCCTTTCCCACTCTTCATCCAAAATTTTACCTTGAATATCTGTTTCCCAATATTCCTTCAAAACTTCTCTTGGTGATTTCCCTATACCCAATAAAACCTTATACAATTTTGAAACTATTTTTGCCTTATCCTTTTCACCTTCAAAGTGCTACTCACACGAGGCTCTCAAGCTCAGACTGGCTTATGAAAACTGATGGACGAGTGGGCAACTGGGCCCCAGACCTTCTGCCCTTGCTACCAGGAAAGGAGGCCGGGTACGGCAGGTTTGAACAAAATCTCTAGTTATTCATGAGCAGCAGACTACATAATAGAAAAATGCGGCTATTTCCTTGCCGGCTTAGGCATGTTTGTATCTTAAGTCTCCTCCTAATAAGAAAAGAATGCCTAGACACCCCCCACGTTCCCCCCTCCCCCCACAGCAATATAAGAAAATTGTCTCGCATAGTCTCTCTTTTCTCTGGTGTGCTCTCCTTCCGTTGGTCGGTTTCAACACAGCGTTAATCTGCCAGGCCCTCTCTGAAGGAGGCTTCTGTGAGGGGAGAGACTCACCGTTCAGCTGATGGCCGGAGGCCAGGCGGCTTGGCTTGAGTATGAACTGGCACTGAAGCTCCCGGGGCAGCTGTTCTATCAGGAAGGCCCCCTGAAGGTCCAGAGGGCAGGTGCGGTCCTTTGATCCCTGCATCTGAGGCAAAGTGTCGCGAACATGGCTCATTTTAATTCCAAAAGGATATTCATGTCCTGCGCAGAGAAAGAGGAAGAGGATTTTCATTGACGCTGAGGGGAGATTCAGGGCAATGCCAGAATACTTCTTGGGGAGGATGTCGTAATGATCTTTATTCTCTAAAAACCTCAGAAGGAACGTATTCATCCCTCTTGACCCAGCCGACACTCGCTCAGCCAGCTTCCAGTTGCATCTCCTCACCCTGCTTCTTCTGATAACCCACTCTAACTTTTCTTCCTAAAAATGTAACTCACTGTTTCAGTCTCAGTTTGTTTAACCTTTTCCCTCAGCCTCCCCCTCCTCGTCTGACTGCAGTATACAAACTTTGAGGAAAGAGAAGTAGGATCTGTAACATAAATCTGTAACAGGCCATGCATATTGATGGTATTCTGCCCACTAAAACACACTGGGTACCATCCTGTCAAAACAAAGCATTTTTCAGGCCAACTGATTCCAGGGGGAGTTATGCACACCCGTTACTATTTACCACATAAACCGCTACTAGCATTTTTGTATGGACCACACTGCTACTTTGTATGCATTTCACTGTTTCTAGTGCACTGTTTTCTAATTTTGCAAGCCAGTTTTACTGTCTGTTGGTTGCATGTTTTCCATTGTTCTTCCTCCTTTGTTTTAGATTGCGCAACCCACCTTCAGTCTCGGAGGGAAAGGTGGTGTTGCAGTCCTGGGCACCCTACCACTTGGGGGAGAAGGGGTGGACCAGAGTACAGCCCCAAGGGAGGGAGGAGCCCAGTGGCAGAGCAAAGGGAAGAGCTGTTTGGGTCTGCAGGAGAAATGGAGGAGCAGTAGGGTCATCAGCCTCCAGGTGGAGCCTGGAGTTCTCCCAGAATTACCCCTGATCTCCAGACCACACAGACCCATTCCCCTGGAGCTTCAGAGGGTGGAGTCTATGACATCAAACCCCCGCTGAGTTCCCTACCCTCCCTAGGACCTGGGCCCAAGCGGGGACAGCAAACCTAAAGCCTGGGTAGAAGCAGGTGGAGGTGATGGTGAGCAAACCAGCCGGGTGGGCTACAGGACAAAAGTTAACCTGTAGCAATGGCTACTGTAAGTGAGCTAATACTTCAGGAGATGCAAATCAGGATGAAGACAGACTGTATAGCCTCTCTAGGAATAGGTACAGATCTTCCTGCTTCAGGGCAAACTTTATTTCTCCACACCCTCTACTGTCTCCAATTCCAAGGTGGATTTCTGCTACTTTCATGCACTACGGATATCTTTGCTTTAAACAAACAAACAAACAAACAAACAAAGAACTTTCCTTCCTCAGGTACCTGGCATATTCAGCCATTCTAATGTTTTATTTGGCATCTTTTAAAAGTCACCCATAAAAACAAAGGGGAAACCCCTCCAAAAACACAGCCCTGCATGATGGAATGGGGAGGTGGCTTCGCAATTATTATTTCTTTGGAACATTTAAAACCCATTTTTCTGTTCAGGAAGAGCCTTGAAGGCAGCACACAAAGAGAATAATATGATCATAACACAAAAGACCAACATAAATAACCTTAATGAAATACAAGAGCATTAAGAAAAACTGAGCAGAAGCAGTAGAACAACATCAACAACCAAAAGCCTGGAAAAAACAACAACCAAAAGCCTGGAATATTTATTTATTTATTTTAACCACAGCACCCCAGAGAATGCAGGGCTGCTGCTACACAGTATCTCTGAGGAGATTCTTTCACAACCAGAACACTTAACAGTTTGTCACACGGGCCAGCCAATCAGCACTCAGGACAGCCAGGTGGGGAGGTGGGCTTTGTTACTGCCACAAGGGCCAGCCCGGAGGAGGAGATTGGATTTATATCCCGCCCTTCACTACCCGAAGGAGTCTCAGAGCAGCTCACAATCCTTTTCCCTTCCCCTCCCCACAACAGATACCCTGTGAGGTAGGTGGGACCGAGAGAACTGTGACTGGCCCAAGGTTACCCAGCAGGCTTCATGTGGAGAAGTGGAGAATCAAACCCACTTCTCCAAATTAGAATCCATGCCACACTTAACCACAACACCACACTGGCTCTCACTGTATGCTGCACAGCCAGTATCTCCTGGAAAAAGCAAGAATAGTTTCCTGTGAGGTTTCATCCAGTTTGGAAGTTTGTACATCTGTTCAAAAAGGAGTTGAGTATGGATCCATAACAAGCTACAGTTATCTTTCAAAGTAACTGTGAGAACACTGAAGTCAGTTTGAAGCTTGTTATATACCTCACACTATGCTAAAAAAGAAGAAAATGACACCAACAGCCAAGTTTGCAATTTGTGCTCTGTGAAAAAAACATCTGGATGTTCGATGAAAGATGCTTTTTCTCTCTTTCTCTGAGCTTCGTAACAAGAACGTTCCTCAGTATGGGTTTCTATTTTTTAAAAAAAGAAACAAAAAGGAAAAAACAAACCATGCATTTGTACGCTGCAGAAAATCCTCCCCTAATTTAGGAGGGCCAAAAGGCCAATTCATGGTGTGCTTCGGGCAAGCTTGTCCTGCCCATTTTCGACAAAGGCTCACAATGTACTTCGGATGGCTGGACAGAACGTATCAGGGGAGGGGGGAAAGAGGGGGAATACAAGACTCCAGAGTCAGCTTTGGCAGAGAGATCCATGCTCTTTAATCCAACACGGCAGCCTTCTAACTATTTCAATATCTGAAGTCTGTTCTCAAACCACTTCTGACTTTCTTCCTCAAAGCCAAACAAGCCCATTTACTTTCCTCCCATGTAATCCTTTCTAAGCCCTTAATCACCCTTTGAATGATTTCCAATACTTTTCCCTACCTGTTCCTTAACAGGAGGCGGCCAGGGGTGGTCAGATAATTCACGTTATGGCTCAACAAGTGACAAATGGAGTGGTACTATGAGAACTGACTAGCTATTTTAGCCATGATACCTAAACAGAAACTCCATGGTCAGAGACAGTATACCTCTGAATGCTACATACTGAGGATAGGGAATAGATATCACCCTTAAGCTTTTGGCTGCCTGGTGTTGGAGGCAGAATTCTGGATTAATTGGACTTTCACAGCAAGGAATTTCCCATCCTCACAGCAAATTCCCGTGCCTTGCACTCAGCTCCTTTGTTAAGTTCATCTCAGCACCAAATCTAACTTTGCCTTGTGGCCTTATGGTTCAACTGTATTTCGGATCACAGCAAATATGCACAGGCCAGCATCAAGGTGATCTACAGCCCTGAAAGGATACAGGAGGTTATCAGAACCATCGAATCAATTCAAACATGCTCCTTCTTGAGTCAACATCATCCACAGCCAGTCTCCCTGTCCGTCTCTGTGAAATACTGCAAAGCATTAATCATCTAACATTGATTTCGAAGCTATGGAGCCAGAAATCTGCTTGTGGGCGGAATGGCAGTCAGGGAGCACAGCTGAAGCAGCCAGGGCCGCAATTTGCCTTCTGTGCAACTCCCACTGGAAATCAAATAGAGATGGAAAGAGGGATCCAGGCAGCCTTAATTTAAGATCTAGGGAAGGTGTCGAGAATGTGATCAGGGTTTGTGCCTAATACGATTTCGGTAGGAGAAAATTATGTCTTGGGCTTGCAGAGACGCTCTGTGAACTAAAATTCTTTCCATCTGCTTTCAAAATTGTAGCTACAAAAATGGGGAGAGTGGGCAGCTCCGTGGGAGAACACCTGGGCTTTGCATAAGAACACAAGGAGAACCCTGCTGAATCAGAACCACACAGCAGCCAACCAGTTGCCCTGGAGCTCCCAACAAACAGGCAACAGAAGCTGGGGCCTTCCTCTGATGCTGCCTGCCAGCGCTGCTATTCAGAGGTTTGCTGCCTCTGTATATGGAGGTTCCCCTTTAGTCACCATGGCTAGGATACATTGAGGGACCTCTTCTCCATGAATCTGTCTAACCTCTTTCTAAAGCAGTCTGTGCCTTTGGCCTTCCCTACAGCCACTGGCAGTGAATTCCACAATTTAATCACTTCTTGTGTAAAGAAGTATTTCCTTTTGTCATTCATTGGGTGCCGCTGAGTTCTACTGTTACAAGCAAGGGAGAAAAAAACTCTACCGATTTTCTCCAGCCACCCCATGCATGATTTTATAAATCTCCATCATGATGTCCCCCTGCAGCTGTCTTTTTTCTTAACTGAGGTGTCTCAATCTCAATTCAATTCAATTCAAAACCTTTATTGGCATGGATCAGAGTCATAAACAGTCACCCTTCAGTTCATTGATTAAACACATAACTTCCTCTACACTGAGGGGCCTCTTCTCCATGAATCTGTCTAACCTCTTTCTAAAGCCGTCTGTGCCTTTGGCCTTCCCTACATCCACTGGCAGTGAATTCCACAATTTAATCACTTCTTGTGTAAAGAAGTATTTCCTTTTGTCATTCATTGGGTGCCGCTGAGTTCTACTGTTACAAGCAAGGGAGAAAAAAACTCTACCGATTTTCTCCAGCCACCCCATGCATGATTTTATAAATCTCCATCATGATGTCCCCCTGCAGCTGTCTTTTTTCTTAACTGAGGTGTCTCAATCTCAATTCAATTCAATTCAAAACCTTTATTGGCATGGATCAGAGTCATAAACAGTCACCCTTCAGTTCATTGATTAAACACATAACTTCCTCATTATAAGGCAGTTACAGAAATTAGCCACCGCTTCAATAACCACTGTATTTTGTGAAGCCAATAAACGGTACAACATTCTGTCATCTGATTGTTTGACATCTTTCTTAAGTATGGCTTCTAGATAGACTGCCCGAATGTCATCATACAAACTACAGTGGAGGAATACGTGTTCGATTGTTTCAATCTCCTCTGAATCACAATCACAAAACCTAACAGAGTAGGGGATTTTCTTAAATCTTCCTGCTAAAACCGCAGAGGGGAGCACGTTAAAGCGGGCGTGTCTCAATCTCTTCTGCCTTTCTTCATAGCGGAGGTGCTCCAACCGTTTCATCACCAATCCCGCAACACCGGCTGCGGCACCACGTTTTGCCAGAGTTTCCAGCAGTTCCTAGAGCTCCCCTATGTCACTTCCAGTTCTTTTTCCGGGAGGCACGTAGCACCGCAGCCAGCAACACAGCTCCCCCCTCTTCCTCACCAACAGCCCTCTCACCAGTTGCGAGGCATTGCCTGGCAACCCTATTCTCAAAGGCAGCCCTATGTAAAAGGCATCACAGTAATCGCATTTCAGCAATATCCCCGCTCCCCAACAAGCTTTCGATTCAGTCAGCTCTCGCCCATCTAGAGTCTAAAAACAGACCATCCGTTCTGGTGAGGGGATCAATGAAGACAGCCCTGTTCTTCTGTCTCCCTTCTTCGGCTTGAAGAGGACTGGCTGCCCTTCTGAGGGAGCTTTAATGACCACAAGCAAGTTTTATTAAACTTATGTCAGGGCAAAACAGTGCTATTTCTTTATCTGCAATACTTTTGGTTTATTTTAAAACCAGGTGCCACAAGACACTGATTTAATTTTCCTGCAACAGATTAACACAGCAGTTTCTCTGGTTTTTAAACGTATTTTATACTTGTAGGCTGTTTTGGACAGCCTTTGGATGTGAGATATAAATGATTACCTAACGGCTCCCCAATTTGTAATCCTTGAACAAGGCAAGTCTCTTTTGACAGTAAAAAAGGGTTCTAATGAGACAGTATATCTTAACTAGAGGCATTTAACAGTATCGACTTGCCCTTTGTTTGGGGAAGGTATGTGGCACTTGTGGCAGGACCCCAGAATCTAGTTCTTAATGGAGCAGCCATTGGTAAAGACTTTTCTCTAACTCTGGTAGCCAGAGTGGACAGTACTGAACCTGATGGACCAGTGATCTATCTAGGGTTGCCAACCTCCAGGTGAGGCCTGGCAATCTCCGGGCAAGGAAACAACATTTCTATTTTTCTGTACTTCTGATGTCCTTTTCAATGAATGGACATTTATTCTGTAAAATGGAGCTCAAGCCCTTTTGACTGAGCCACCCAACAGCACCTGCCCCCGACAGAGGTGCTGGTAGCGGCTGCCTGAAGTTACAACCCTGGAATGGCCTTCCTGTAGAAACGTCTCCGATTCTGAGCCTGCACACTTCTCTGCCTGACTTGCAAAATATCCTTGAAAGTTTGGGCTGGCTTTCAACAGTCAGGATTAAGCAGGTGTGAAGGAGATGTAATTTAATACGGCACTTTGTTTTTAGGCAAGTTCTTTCCTTTTGAATTATCCTCACCTACCTGAGGGCCTGGGGAAGGAGCAGGATTGAAAATGAACTAGCTAGGCAAAATAAATGTAAAATATACTTCCAGAAACTGTTTAAAAATATCCTTGTGGTGCAGAGATAAAAGAAACGGTAGCCTGTATGCTGTTATTCTGTAATTACTGTAAAGTAATTTGAGATGAAATCATTACTCCACTTTTAGCTACCGTACCAGGCCATTCAGCAGAAGATTTAGTTACCGCTTTTCTTGTCAGCAACAGAACATTTCCATGGAAGGAAGGATATCTGTCTGTGGAGCGTGGCATTCTCAACTTCTCCCTTTTGGGACAGAAGAGGTGAGAAAGCTGTTTCACAAGCAGAAATCCATCTGTCCATGGAAACACTTTTGATCCAAGCCACTATATATAAAGCTGAAAGACAAAACTACTTTTTAAAAAGTCATTAGGAATAGATCCTGGTAGATGAAGGAATTATCTTAACCAAACATGCACAAAGCTATTTGTTTTAATGACTGTGTTGTATTACTGAAAGAGGTCAGTTGACTGTATCATTATAAAGGGAAAAAGCTAAAAGCCTTCTTACCAATGAGAGGATATGGTGCGTCTTCTTTCCCAGAATTCACCCAGAGCTGGTAGTCTTTTTCAGAGCCCTTTAAAAAACACAATCCCAGAGTTATTACAATGAAGCAGAAGAAGAAGAGTTGGTTTTATAACCCGCCCTTCACTACCTGAAGGAGTCCTGGAGCAGTTTACAATCACCTTCCCTTCCTCTCCCCACGACAGACACCCTGTGAGGCAGGTGGGGCTGAGAAAGCTTTGAGAGAACTGTGACTGGCCCAAGGTCACCCAGCTGGCTTCATGTGGAGACAAGGGGAATCAAACCCGATTCTCCAGATAAGAATCCATTGCTCTTAACCACTACACCAAGAGGTAAATTGTATGTTACATCTTGTGCTTTGAATGCAGGTGTAACAGATCTTGCCAGAGAATGGGGCACACACAACACAACACTTCAATGTAGAAATTATTTTTCATAAGCTTTGCCAATGGTGGTCTGGCGCAGCCAGTTACCAAGCTTGGAGCTGTCTGCAGGCATTCTGCAGTTGGCAGAATATTATGCAAACTATTCGTCTAGCACAAGACTGCATGCGACCAAGGTATTACTGAGTCAATAACAAATGTGGCTGCATTGCAGCTGATGCTTCTATACTTGGGACTCCACAGAGTCTAGTGACATGGAGAGAACGGAGAAACTGTGTGTGTGTGGGGGGGAGGTTCTGCTGAATTTCTGTATAGATATATTTTTACATTCTGTTTCCCTTTGTACTTTTCCTTTGCAGTAATTTAGGCATCTGGGTAGAAGATAAGCCGGAAAGCCTGTTATGTAACAAGATCGCCACATATCCAAAAACCTGATACACTAGAGACTTCTCCCAAACAGACTTTGAGCCTTCACCATCTGGCATGGCAGCAACAGTCAGATGATGCAAGAATGCATGAAGTTCTGAAAATATCTGTACTGGCCAGGGAAGAAAAGCACCTACCGTTGGCAGCTTCCTGGATGAGCCTAGCTGCCAATCCTGCCTCCCTCCATATCTCCTGTACTTTTCAGAACAGCTTGGGTGGTGAGGGGAGGCTGAGACCTCAGCATCCATTCCTTGGTGTGTGTGTGTGTGTGTGTCCCTGCTGTGACTTCCCACTTTCTCTCCAGGGCAAAAGACACCTGAGAAATGAAGCCGAGACCTTTCATCGTTGCACCTGTGCCACTTTTACAGGAGTGTGTACAGGACACAAAGAGGCAGCATGGCTTCCTGTGCTGCCAAGTGGGGTACTGTTCTCCTTTGTCCCCACTGGTAGAAGAAGCTGCTTAACAAGTGCCTCAAATCACACAACTGTGATCCTGCTGCATGCCTGACATGTAGATAAACAAGGCAAGTCACATGACATGGCCTGGGGTTGGGCACCCAGCTTGGGCCCAGCTTCAGTCACACAAAATAACACAATGGCAATGTAACACAAAGGATTTTGTCAGAAGAAGCAGTGCTGTCGTTAATGAGAGCTGAATCTGGTTGGGGAAGATCAGGGGTCATAATTAGGGTTGCTGATTCCCATTTGGTAATTTGGGGATTTGGTAAATTGGAGATTTGGGGGTGGAGCTTGGAGAAGGAGGAGTTTGGAGAGGGAAGGGACCTCGGCAGGATATAATGCCACAGAGTCCACTTTCCAAAGCAGCCGTTTCCTCCAGGGGAACTGATCTCTGTTGTCTGGAGTTCAATTGTAATCCCATCCAGCCATGAAAATCACTGGACGAACCTGTAGAAAAGAGTCCAGTCGTACCTTAAAGACTAACAAAATTTGTGGTAGGGTCTGAGCTTTTGTGAGTCACTGCTCACTTCTTCAGATCCAGCTCAGACACTACCACAAATTTTGCTAGTCTTTAAGGTAAGACTGGACTCTTTTCTACTGCTACAGGCAGACTAACACGGCTACGCATCTTGATCTATCTGGATGAACCTGGGCCACTTGCTCAGACTAACCAACCTCACAGGACAGTTGTGAAGATAAAATGGGGGGGGGGCATTCTATGATACCATCCTGTGAGCTAAATTTTTATGGCAGAAAGCCACTGTATAATGTTAACAGAGGCAATCAGGGGTGGGGCGAAGTTCCAGGGGGCTGAAACCATTATATGATGACAAGTCACCTTCTCAAGTATGCCCTTCCTGATTCTATATATGTGTGAAATGTATCAGGAATGCAAGGCTGCCGCTGAAAATGGCATTACAGTGTATGCACTTTCTCACAGCAGCAGGAAAAGCCAGTATCATAATACTGGGGAGGAAGAAAGGAAACATATTGTTTGCAGTGGCCCTGTAGTTCTTTGTCCCCTTCATACACCTGTCTAGCTCCATGGGAGTCATTTCTGTGTGGTACCATCCCCAGGTGCAAGGGTATGCACATGCATAGCGCAGTCATGTGCGGGGGGGGGGGAGCTAATTGTGTGGAGTGTTTGTGGCTGACAGAGCCAAGCGGTTGGCTGTAGTGCCAGCAGCTCTGAAGAGCCAAGAAGGAGATGCCCTGTGATTGACAGGCACAGCACTTTCAGGGGTTTAGATTAGAAGCACTGCTAAGCTAACAAGCAGGCAGCAGGAGGAAAATAAAGAGGGTCTGGAGAATTGCCTGGTGCTGCACAGCAAGATGCCAGGAGAGAATGAGGCAGAAGGATATGAAAAAGAAACTTGCCCTTCTGTTCCCCCTGTATATATTCAGCTGTTTCATTTTCAATTTCTTGATGTCAAGTGCAACTGCAGGGCTCAGATGAGCCTATGTGTCTGGTAATACATGATATTTTAAGGGACTGATCTTTCTTACAAGAAAATGCTGCCTTGGAATTAGCCTGGAAAATGGAAATTCGCCAGGCACACTGTGCAGCCCCATTTATACAAGTCACCACCACCAGCAGCTTCTTGTACAAGACAAGGACGGAGAACTACTTCCTTGAGGTGGACATCATGACTAATGCTTACACTGTTCCTCACAAAACAGGCTTGTCAGCTTGTCCCAGTCTGTCTGCTATAAGGCAGAGGCATCTTACTCAGGAAAGCCCGCTTTCAGCTAACAGTTACTGATCCACTGAATTATTACAGCCAGGTTATCAACTGTGTTGACTGAAAATGCCACACTCCCTCGACACAAACTGGGGGAAAGCAAGAAAAATAAAGACCCTCCCCATAGAAAATATAAAATACACGCACTGAATAATGAAATAGCAAAAGTAGTGTCAGAATCTATGTGGCCAGTGCCACACATAAAACAAAGATATACAAACAAGTGACAAAAGCTGGCATTGTGTACTCAATTTCAGAACTTCCTCAAACTTGGATCTCTCCTGCACAGTTTCCAATCAACTGGGTGTCTGTAAAGTGCCATCAAGTTGCAGCTGACTTATGGCAACCCTGTCGGGTTTTCAAGGCAAGAGATGTTCAGGGGTGGCTTGATATTGCCTGCCTCTGCTTCATGACCCTGGACTTCCTTGGTGTAATACCAAGATCTGAGAGGATCGGGCTAACCTGGCTATCCAGGTCAAGGCTCCAATCAGTTACAGAGAGTAAATCACTGCTGAAAGCAACCGGGTCATGATCAATGTTAAAATCTAAATTAGATGGGAAGATGTTGGAAAAAATAAGTTCCAATAACTGTATGGCTGGAACTTGACAGGATCATCAAAGATGCAAATGTTGGCTTGGATCAAGTGCTAAATCTCCACTAACAGAAGGGATGCCTATCGGCAGGACGGGACTTTCTTGCCTTTCCCTGCCCACTGCACCCCAAAATGATCTCTGAAATGTTGACCCAGAAACAGCATGAGGCGAAGATTGAAGGTCTGCAGGTAAAGGAGGGAAATTGGTGAAAACTGCCCTTCTTTCCTTCCATTAGCAGTGTTTCCCCACAGAAGGCAACCCCTTAATATCCAAAACCAACCTCAGCGATCACAAAAGACATACACATCTCAATCCCGCACGAAATCCTATAGGGATCACTCAGGGAGCTGAGTGTTGGCCGACAGTTCCTAACTCCTACACCAGCCTTTCTTGCAATACACAAGTCCGAAATACTTATTTTTTCCTACGCCATGTTTCCTATCTGATAAAATAACATCTCATTTTGACGGGGATGGGACTACAAGTGTCCAGAGGGAGGACTTTCCCTTGCTGCAAGTAGTGGACAAAGGAGATGACGAGGGAGAAGGCACTGTGCAAGTGGAAGGAGATGGCATGCTGGGAATCCTTACAGGCAAATACCCGTCTAATAGCCAAGAGACAGCCACTGTGTGGCTCTGCAGATCTAACACAACAGGGCCAGCCACAGCTGCTGCTGTAGACCAGTAGGGTTGCCAGGCCTCTCACACGGCTGGAAGACTCCTGCCAATTGCGGCCGGCTTCTGTGCTGGCACAGAGCTCTCCTAAAACAAGGGCTCTTGCAAGCTCAAACCACCACTATTACAACAAGCTGGACACCTTTGGGGGATCCAAGAAGCCGATGTGGATGAACAGAGAACTCTGTGAGGAGCTAAGGAAGAAAAAAGGAAGACATGGAGGGAAGGACATAGCTCTAAAGGAGGGTATCTGAGGGTCAGCCACCAGAGAGGCCAAAGCTCAGAGAGAACTGAGGTTGTCCAGGGAGCCTCACTACAACAAGAAAGTGTCTGCAGCTATGTGAGGAGCAAACACAAGGTAAGAGAGGCAACAGGACCACCGTTGGATGAAAATGGAGAAACTCTGACAGAAGACAGAGAGAAAGCTGAAAGGCTCAATGCCTATTTTGTCTCTGTTTTTCCCTGAAGAACAGGCTTATCTAAAGTTGGTACTAGGAAAGGTCCAGGCTGCTAGTTGACATGGTTGACAAAGACGCCATGTCCAAGCTGCTGGTTGACATGGACAGAGAGGTTGTTGAGAAGCACCTGGCTGCACTGGCTGAGTACTAATCCTGTGGGCCAGATGGTCTGCACCCTAGAGTGCTCGAATAACTTTCTTGAGAGCTTGCAGAGCCTCTGTCCATCATCTTCAAGACCTCTTGGAAGATGGGAGATGTGCCACAAGACTGGAGGAGGGTGAATGTTATCCCAATCTTCAAAAAAGGGAGGAAAGATAATCCAGGAAACAACAGAGCAGTCAGTCTGACCTGTGTCCCAAGGAAGATATTGGAGCAGATTTTAAAGGGGTCAATCTGCAAGCATCTGAAGGACAACTTGGTGATACATGGAAGTCAGTGTGTATTTGCCCCAAACAGGTTCTGCCAGACCAACCTCGTTTTCTTCCTTGATCGAGTGACAAGCTTACTGGATTGTGGGAATGCCCTTATAAAGATTCCCCGCTTCCCTTTTTGTTTTTCTTGGCTGAACAGTCCCTTTTCTTCTTTGTTTTGCTATCTGTTCCACCCAGTTGTTTAAATATAAATAGATATATACTGGCCCAGCCTAGGGAACTGAGGGACCGACAAAAATCCTTCATATGTTTATGTCAGTTTATGGCACAAAAGAGGCTGATAGTAATTCAAAACAAACAAACTGCTTTATTTCACTTCTATGGGGGAAAAGGGTCAGGTAGGTATCGGGTTTGCAACTTGGCAGATGAACAGGCAACAGGAATGATGTAATATTTTATAATTATAAACAATAGTTTGTCACAATAAAATAGCTGTTTGGTTCTATAGACAGGTCTTTAAAACTGGAGAGAGATCTCTTGGCAGTCACTACTTAAATAAACAGGCATAAGCTTCTTTGTCTCAAACATACTTAAGTTTGTGAAGGCAGGAACATACACACAAGTCCCAATTTTCCTTCTTAATCATTTGAGAGGGATCACCCCCTCTTGTTGTTGTTCAGTCGCACAGTCGAGTCCGACTCTTCGCGACCCCATGGACGAGCTCTCTCCAGGCCTTCCGGTCTTCTGCCGTCCTCTGAAGTTGGCTCAACTTCATGTTCGTTGCATCGATGACACTGTCTAACCATCTCATCCTTTGCCGTCCCCGTCTTCTTTGACCTTCAATCTTTCCAAGCATCAGGGTCTTCTCCAGTGAGTGCTCCCTTCTCATTTGGTGGCCAAAGTATTTGAGCTTCAGTTTCATTATCTGGCCTTCCAGGGAACAGTCAGGGTTGATTTCTTTGAGGATTGACTGATTTGTTCTTCTTATTAGGACCCATTTCCCTCAGGGAAGGACCACTAGTTCCACTTCCCTAATTCAGGGTTCTCCTTGATCCTCTCATTTTGCTTAACTGAACTTCACTGCTCTCACTCCCATTCTCAACTGCCACTCTTAATTGACACTCTCAACTGTAGAATTCCATTTGAACTCGCTGTCACTCAAAGTTCTCAGACCGGGTCAAAGCATTAACCATTCACTGTCTGTTACAGCCGTCAACACTGTTTGCCTGGATTTCAGTAAAGGTTTTGACAGGATTCCCTGTGATGTTCTGATGGGTAAACGGGGGCAGGGGGGACTCTTGGTTAGTTAGGTGGATAGAGAACTGGCTGGAGAAATGCACCCAAAGAGTAGTTGTCAATGGCATTTCATCTTATTGGAGGGAGGTATTCAGTGGAGTACAGCGCTCGGTTCTAGGCCCGGTACTTTTCAATATTTTTATGAATGATCTGGATGAAAGGGTGGAGCGACTATTCATTAAATCTGCTGATGACACCAAATTGGGAGGAGGACCGAACACACAAGAAGATACAGAATTCAAGAAGTTCTGAACACACCGAAAAAGTGGCGAAATGTGAATAAGATGCAGCTCACCAAGGCTAAGTGCAGAATTCTACATCTGGGTAACAGTATGTGAGCAAACAAGATCTTGGACTGTAAGCTAAATATGAGCTATCAGTGTGATGCAATGGCAAAAAAGGCTAACGCAGTCTTGGAGTAAACCAACAAAGGCATCCAAATCACAAGATGTCATAGTCCTGCTGCACACCACATTGGTCAGGCCACACCTTGAATACTGTGTGCAGTTCTGGAGGCCTCACTTCACAAAAGATGTGGACAGAATGGAGCGGAAGCTTTCCAAGAAGCTAAGCATAATGTACATTTTTTTAAAAAAGTCATCATATCTCACATTAATTCCCAGCTGCTGCAGGGCCATGAGGATCACGTCATTCGCTGTATCCGTGTTGGTTGCAGTTAGTGTTTTTGACTGTGGGGAAGGGGAAAAAAGAAGACAGTAGGGAACATAAGCATCAAAATAATAGCATTTGAAAAGCACCGCAAAAGTAATACTTGGACTTTCACAAGAGAGTATCAGCTGAAAATTTCAGCTGGAACTTAGACATAGCATTTAATTCCTTCCTTATGAAGCAACACGGTGTTGGTAATCTGCTGTCTCCAAAAAAAACAGACATACATTTTTCAGTACTATCAATAACCTCTCACCAACACTGATCGGATGATTGGAATGGGAGAATCAAATTCAGAGCTCAATTTCCACATCTTAGTCTCAAGAGCATGCTGCCTTGTCTCTACTAAGCACACATTTCACATCGGTTTTTAAACTGAGCACAGAACATTCAGGTCACACACAATGCTCTCTCTAAGCTGCAGAGTCTTGTGAGCAAAAATTCTACTTTGTGAGCTACTGACATTAAAGTTGTGAGCAAGTGATTTGGCTACTGCATAAAATAGTTTGCTCTGGAAACATCCTTCCTGAGCTAAGACAAAAATGTGTAAGCCAGAGGCTAAGAAACTGTGAGCTAGCTCACATTAACTCAGTTTAGAGGGAACACTGGTCACACAACCCTTATTTTTTTTAATTTCACTTGCTTACAGACTGCGTTTTGACCAAACAGTCTCGAAGGTGGTTTACAAAATATTCAATAAACTCAATTAAAACTCAAAGTAAAATAAAAAAACTAAAACATCATATAGCACAAAAATTAACAGTATCCACAGTTTTACAGTATCCACAATATTCTTCTACCCGAGCCACAGTAAACAATGAACTGCCAAGGCAACTGAAGCCAATGGCATCTGTTTTTGCCCGAGGATATAGCTGAATGATCATAATATAAAAAATTAACATTTTCTCAAAGTAATGACATTTGGCACTCAGGAGTAGGTCAGCACATTTGCATAAGGCTTGCCTTTGGCGAGAATATAATAAAGTGATTTGCACTGCCCACCCCCAACTCCTGCATTAAACGAAACAATTCCCCCGCGATCTCCAGCTGCTGTGGCAGAACAAGAAGTGGAGCTTCATAGAAAGTATTTAGATTTTCAGGAAACCCCCATCTACTGCTGTTGGGCCTTGTCAGTGATATTTCTAATGCTACTGAATTTCACTTCCAAGCTGACCCATCTGCCCCCACTCTGGTCTAAAAACTGTGAACTGCTGCACAATTTCCGAGTGTGACTGATAGATGCTGCTTCCCAGACATGACCAAATTGGTGTCCGTCTACAACTACTATTACCTTTGGTTTATCAAAAACGCAACAGCCAGCTTTTTTTGTTTTCTTTAAGGATTACAAAAGTTCCCAGAAGACACATCTCACAAACAGCTATTAGCTATGGCAGCTATAGAACTTCCTAGTACAAAGTCAGCATGACTCCAAACACCAAATGCTGGGGGTAAGTAGGATGTTCTGTGGTGGTGTCCAGTCCCCTGGAATGGGTGAGGAGGGTGCATTCCTTTCCTAAACTGAAGAAGGCATGTGAGGCAGTCCTCTTGGGGGTAAAAAAATTTTTCCAGCAGGTTTGGCTGTGCACTTACTGAACCTGTTTGTTCTAATTCTTGTGTGTGTGTATTGTATAAATGCTTTTGTGTGTTTTAATCTGTTTTAAATTTAACTTTTGCCTTGCAGCTTGGGGACTACCTTGTTCACTGCCTTGAGTCCAAGAAGATATGGCAGGATAAAACTGTTTCAGATAAATTAATATGCCTAGCCAGTATTTGGTTCTGGGTGGGGGGGGGCTTACAATGAAAATACTTGGGGGCATATGGAGCAGGATCTCTGACAGGGAGACCAAGTTCCCACTTCAGTGGAAGACGTCCTGCCCCCTGCTGGCTCTACCCACCATTGCTCAGACAGGTGGGGGAAGTGCAGGGAGAAATGGGGAAGGGGGAATCAGTGACACCCTCAGTGCCATGATGTCACTTACAACATGATCCAGAAGTGAAGTTATCATGGTAATGCTCTAACATTCAGCAAAACTCTATGGTTAAACTACAGAGCATTGCCAAATGCTAGAAAGTTGTCAGCAACACGATGGCTTCACCTCCAGTTTACACAAGAACTGACATCATAATATTACTGGCGACATCAAAACAGCAAGGCCCACAGGCCACAGACTTCAGCTGATGGGCAGGCTCTCACACGGAAGCAGGCAGTCCTTTAGGGATCCTGGTCCCAAACCAGTTAGGGCTTTATGTTAAGAGAATGAAGAAAAGGCAAATTAGGGGGCTCACGTTAAACACGGGATATCCTGCAACATTTGTATGTTCACAGCACAACATAAATGAATTTTCACATTGGTAACATTCTTGCCAAAGAACAAGGATAATTGTTATGTTTTGACACCCTCCTTGCTCAATCAGAAGCTGAGGGACACTTACGTATGCACAGTTTCCAAGATCTTTTGCAATGATCTTCAAGGGAATGCTTTTGGGATAGTCCTTTGCCTTCTCTTCACTGATTCGGCTGTCAAAATAAACAGAAATAGAGCTGGTTTTCAAATGCCTGCAGTCGTTGCAATTATATAGCAAATTCCAAATAATACAAAGTGCAGGTATTTCAGTCTCTGCTGGCAAGAGAATGTTCTATGTGGGCTCTTTCCACAGCAGAAGTGGTTACAGTGGTCTGTTTAGACGGCCCCTTAAAATTCTTTCCATGAGGTACCCTTTGCACACAAAAGACTCTGAATAGCTGAGTTTCATGGTGCCAGCCAAAATCTTACTCAATAAAGTTTGGATCTGACTCCATTATTCAAGCCCGATGCCAGTTCTTCTAATTCAGAGTTATAAATCTTAACCAATTCGGTTTTTCAAAACCCCAAATTAACCACACTTAGACTCAATGCAGCACAGGAAATTCCAGAGATAAATCCACAATAAAGAACTGGCTAGATATAGATCAGATAGATGAGGCTTGAGATTGCCTGTTTCTATCATGGATAATATAGCAGGACAGAAGTACCTTTGAAGCAAAGTGAGCCACTTCTCTTTCTGCTCGGTGGAACTGAAACATTAAAAACAAGGTTCACATAGTAGTAATGCAACATAATAATATTATCTATATATCCACTTACAAGTAAAATCCAGCTTTGGCCAATATATTAGAATGCTCACTATGGCTGGGAGGAGGTGAATGCTTCAGATATCAAATTAGAATACAGATGTGTAGAAAAATCAATATTTTTACCAATCTATCCCCCAGATAAACATACCAAAAGAGGGAAAAAATGAAGAGGTACATTCAGAATGCATTTTTTAAAAGATCACTAACCTTTGGTTTCTTGCCATGCCAAAAGAAAACAGATATCGTGGCACCATTAAGCCTAACTAAAGCAAACCACGCTTATGCTGGCACAATCTTGGGTTAGACCAAGAGGTGCCACTCGACAGCTTTGGGGTGTATGAGCTCTTGATTCAGTTGCTTGAAAGAAACCTACCCTGCTGTTGACTAAGCACTGCTGAGAATGTTTATGAATATTCCAGTTGCTTGGAAATTTAAAAATCTGCCACCAGTGTTCCCTCTAAGCTGAGTTAGTGTGAGCTAGCTCACAGTTTTTTAGCCTCCAGCTCACAGATTTTTGTTTTAGCTCAGGAAGGATTACTCAGAGCGAACTAATTTATGCAGTAGCCAAATTGCTCGCTCACAACTTTAATGCTAGTAGCTAACAAAGTAGAATTTTTGCTCACAAGACTCCACAGCTTAGAGGGAGCATTGTCTGCCACCTGATAAGGCCTAAGGACAGACAGGGCTATGTGCAGCTAGCAGGAAGCGGTTAACCAAAAACAAGATTAAGCAAAAACAAGATTAAGCATGGACTATGTATGTGACTGTTGCGTATGTATGGGAGTAGTATGTAAGTGGCGTGTTGTAGTAATATATATTATGTATTGGCCGGCGTGGGTGGGGGGTGGATTACTACAAATGGGCAAGAATGAAGGCTTCTGCATACAACCAAACCAAACAAAAACATGTATGTGAATTTTAGTGGTTAAAAGTAGTTTGTGAAGTATAACAAAAGTATCATGTAATCCATGAATTTGGTATGCAAGAGAGACCAGTAGAGTACACATCTCGAAGTCGCACTGCATTGCCCAAATTCATGAAATTTTTTAGCACTGATGCAATTCAGAACTGAGTTGCCCCCCCCCCATTGAAAACTAGCTTAGAAAGCTGGGATAGGCAGAGGCGGCCTTGAACTGGCCATGAACTTTGCAAGACCCCACCAGTCAAAGGCTGCATCTCTTCCCTTTGTATGTTTTCGCCTTTCAGGAAGAGTTTCAAAGACTCCCCAAGATTCAAAGAGGATATTTAAGAAAGTGTCAGTGGCTTCTCACAGCATGCACTTCGTAAATATTTGGACATTCTTTTTTTAATCTCTTTGCTAACCAGATTCTTGTGTAATTAAATACCCCAAAACAACTCTTGTAAAAATCTTCTCAAGCCCTCTTTTACCTCCCACAGTGAATAGCTCTGCCTATGTAATATCAAAAATGCCATCCCATTTATAAGTCAGATTGCTTCAGAATGAACAAAAGGCAGGCAGGCAGGCAGGCAGGCACGTGCATCCATTCAATGATTCCTCTTCATTGACACAGGAGGAGTTCAGATAAAAGCAGGAGCAAGTTATTGCCATGCCACCTACTTACCCTAATGCCATCATGCTGAGCTCAATGGCATTCCTAAATAGATTGTGGGTTGCATCCTAGACATTTAAACCCCTTTTGATCAAACGTTTTTGGCAAAAAAATAAATGAGACATGAGAATCAGCCGATGCAAAGTAGTTGTCATCCAGGCACTGAATCCTACCTACACTTCTAAGTAGGAGGGCAATTTTTGCTGAAGTGCTGCTCCTGTGGTTCAGGCAACCCGTTAGAACAGCTTAGAGAGGGGAAGTGGGTCTACTGTGTGATGGGGGTGGGAACTGGCCAAAATCCTCCCCCCCCTTATGTCTGCTGAAATCTAAGTGGGATCCAAGCTCAGGTTAGGTCATGCAGAAATTAAGTGATTATATTGCATTTTGTATTAAGATATTCAGTATCCAGGCAATTGTTTCATTACCCTGCCAAAATATCTTGGCAAAATGAGTGTCTTTCATGATGTCCACGACCCCCTGCTATCCCAGTGTAATGGTAAAAATGTGACAGTTGGTGTACCTTTTTTTCTAGATTATGATGAGACTACAGGGCAATATTGGCAATATCACGCCTGGCCCTCCACAGATCTTCAATGCAAAGAATAAGGAGGCAGGTACAAACATTCATTCTGTGAAAACTTATGGTTTCAGTTTTCAAATAAATGTTTACCATATTTTAATTTAAGCCATTTTGCAGTAAGAAAAACACTGCCTTAATGTTTTTCAAAATTTATAAGGGGGAAAAACCCCTTCTATTTTCTGCTGCAGACGGCATCACTTTAGCGATCTGAAAAGTTTACTTGTTTAAAATGTTTGTAAAGCACTTTTGTGAAAACAGTAGTCACAATTCTCACAATGGTCTTATGGCACGCTAAACAGGGCAAATCCTAAACACATCCTTCGAGGTTGACAGACGGCTATAGCCACTTAAGATGGCACTGTAAGACTCATGCTGGTTTCAAATCATCTTCCCAAGAAATTATCGTTTTTGTTACGGCAGCTAGGCATCTCCTGCACAGAATGATCATAGGCTAGTCACCAAATTACAAGCTGTTACAGAAATTCTTCGTGAGAAGCGATGACATCTACTCTAGTATGAAAGAGATGCATATGTGCAGTATACAATGGCCCAATGATCCCTGAGAAAGAAGCATTAGCATGAACATTCCTGTTTTCATTAATGTACATTGTTTGGATGGGTGTTAGAATTTAGAACTGCATATAGAAAATACTTTAAAACTCTCTTCGGTTTAAAAGGACGGAGAGTGCACCCAAGTCACTGTAGAATTTTGTCTCAGCTGGAGAGACACATCCAAGGGGCAATCAGCGTAAAGAACACCTTGTACCTGAAGTTAGCAACACAGTTGGTGGTGGGCCATCCTAAAACGAAGGACTTCTCAGGGTTCGTGCTGCTCTCACAGACCTCCTCCATGCAAGATGCTATCCATATTTCAGAGAGACGAGCTTGGCTCTTCAGCTTGAAGTGCAACTGTGACCTGCAATGAAGAAGCCAGTTAAAGCGCACCACTGACAGGGGCCTCAATTTAAGAACAGGCATGTTGGAAGAGGAAGTTTTGAGGAAGTGCCGGCAATTAAGAAAGTGGAAATGAGGATCACCTTCAGTCCATGGCAAGAGGTGCCCTATCAATACACACACTTCCCCAGGCCCAGCTCCCTTCCACGTGTGAAGCTTGGTGAGGAAATGCTTTTTGTCTTCTCCCTGTCATAACGGGGAATGGTACGTGAGCCTGACTGGATCCCAGTATCACCTTAGCTGGATTTCTGAAAGCCAAGTAAGGACTGGGACATGGACGTCCATCGATAGGTTTCTTTAGAACTGCCATACAAACAACCTGAAAGCCTCCACCCTCATGGATTTTAAAGGACTGACCGACACTCATGATGAATGATTCTCCCAAAGCCTTTAGCTTCTATTCACTCCATAGCTGTGTCAAGGGCCTGTGCCACACTGACGGTCTCGCAATAAATAAAAAACCCACAGATTTAAACACTGCCCTGGGTGCAGCTGACTGGGAATGTTCTCCTTCACAAGCCCAATGCCTTAGCTGGATTTCCGAGAGCCAAGTAAGGACTGGGACGTGGACAATGCAACGCCTCTTTCTTCAGAACCACCATACAAGCAACCTGAAAGCCTTAACCCTCATGGATTTTAAAGGACTGACTGACATGCATGATGACTGATTCTCCCAAAGCCTTTAGCTTCTATTCACTTCATAGCTGTGACAAGGGCCTGTGCCACACAGACGGTCTGGCAACAAATCAAAAACCCACAGATTTAAACACTGCCCTGGGTGCAGCTGACTGGGAATGTTCTCCTTCACAAGCCCAATTGAAGTGGATGGGAGTTGGGACACTGAACAAGGAACACAGCTTTTCCTGTTACGCAGTTCCTATGAGTCTAATTGGGGCTTGCTCAGGCATTCCAGGAGGTTTGTGCCTCCCGCCCTCCATACTTCTGCATTCATCACCCCATCTCCTGCTCTTGGTTCAGGACTCGCTTGTCAAAATAGAAAAAGGGTAGTTCTCAGAAAAACGTGGCACAAGAGAAGCCCGTGCCTACATCACAACAAAGCTGGCATTGACCACATATGCATCGACCCAGTGTTCCCCCCCCTTTCTACTGTGCATAGGCTCAGAGAGGGCTTCATGTGCCATGCTGGACATGGAAGGCATTCAAGAAGTCTGCACTTCTAAATTGATATATAAAATGGTGCCTGATCCCTTATGTAAGGCAAGAAATTTAAGTCACAAGTGGAAACAAAATGATAAGAACATAAGAGAAGCCAATGTTGGATCAGGCCAATGGCCCATCCAGTCCAATGCTCTGTCACACAGTGACCAAAAATACCAGGTGCCATCAGGAGGTCCCGCAGTGGGGCCAGGATACTAGAAGCCCTCCCACTGTTGTCCCCCCCAAGCACCAAGAATACAGTGCCTCACCTGCCCCAGTCTGTGAGTTCCTATCTATACCTTGTGGCTAATAGCCACTGATGGACCTCTGCTCCATATGTTTATCTAATTCCCTCTTGAAGCTGTCCATGCTTGTAGCCGCCGCCACCTCCTGTGGTAGTGAATTCCATGTGTTAATCACTCTTTGGGTGAAGAAGTACTTCCTTTTATCCATTCTAACCCGACTGCTCAGCAATTTCATTGAGTGCCCACGACTTCTTGTATTGTGAGAAAGGGAGAAAAGTACTTTTTTGTCTATCTGCTCTATCCCACACATAAGCTTATAAACCTCAATTGCGTCACCCCTCAGTCGTCATTTCTCCAAGCTATAGAGTCCCAAACATTTTAACCTTTCTTCATAGGGAAAGTGTTCCAACCCTTTTATCATTCTAGTTGCCCTTTTCTGAACTTTTAGTTGAGAGGTCATAGGTCATCGTATTATTTTTTCTTTGCCCAACTATTCACCTCCTCCTTCTAACAAGGCCAGGAGTAGCTGATCACTCCTTAGCAACAAAAAGGGAGACAGAGTAAGGATGAGTTAATCTCCCATTGAAGGCTGCACAACTGGGAGATTTACCTTTGGTAGGCACAGCAAAAACCTTGGCCTAAATGTGCAGGTTTCACATTCCAACTGGGAGGTGATGGAAACCACTGAAAGAAGCTCTCCCTTGGGTAACCTTCCAGTGATTTTGCTTCTGAAGAAGTGTCTCCCCCTACTCCATCCTTTTGCTTTTCTGTTCTGCAAAGCCACGACTTTGGGAGTGGTTGCTGCAGAATTTCTCACCTGATAAGTGGATTACTGCCTGGGAAGCTCTAGGCTAAAAGTAGGTCAGCTTAAGAAAGGGAACCTTAATAGGCATCTAATTCAGGTTCTGACTCAGGTTCAGAATGTTTCCCTAAAGTGCAGGTCCATGGAGCCATTGTAGATTGGGAAAACAGCACAGTGGGGGAAGCTTGAATCCACCCCCTGACACTAAAACCCTGATCCAAATCAGAGCCCTATATGCTTGTTTTTAAAAGGAAGATCTCTCTCTCTCGATCTCTCTCTCTCTCTCTCCTTATTCACAAAACTTCCAATGGTCTGATCTGTCTTGTCCCTAAAACCTCCAGGGAGGGAAAAGTGATGGCTAATGGTGTCCAAACAAGGGAAAATACCAACCCTTAAACTTCTCATTGTGATTTTTGCACTACTACAGGTCTCTTGAAAAATCCCTAGCCTAATGCTACAGATCTAGCACACTCGGTTCCCTGAGACAATCCAAGAAAAGTTCTTATGACCTTTATGTATATTTTTATTGTTATATTTGTTTTATTGTTTTAATCCTACCAATAAAATGTTAATGAGGAATGGTGTCCAAACAAGGGAAAATATCAGCCTTTAAACTTCTCACTGTGATTTTTGCACTACTAAAGGTATCTCAAAAAATCCCTAGCCTAATGCTACAGATCTAGCACACTCGGTTCCCTGACACAATCCATCAATATGGTAAACAGTTGAACAAAACAGGGAACTTTTCCAGATGCAGCTTCTCCTCTCATACTACTTCAATAACAAGAAAAGTTACACCTTGTGGAATTCTTACTGCTATAGAGTTATTAGAAAGGAATCATACTCCACGGTAATTCTAGCCTGGACATCATTACATCAAAAAGTAGGCCCCATCCATATAACTCATCACATCTTACATATCACATGCAATAAGGACTGCTAAATTTTATCTTACCCTAAAACAGTTCTGCTTTATTCCTATCATAACTTTTCATTACTCTGGACACTTTAAAGTTCTAACAATATGCCGTGTACTTTTAAAATAGTTTCCTCAAAAATTCTGTACAGTTTCCATCTCCCTCAATCTCTCAACTAGATTGTTCTTAACCTCTGTTAATTTTTTAAGCCTTTCAATTTTTTAAGGCTGCTAACCATTTTCCTAACATTTCTCCTGCGCCTTTAACAGCCACCGGAAATGCAACATTTCGAAAGTGAAGGTGTTCCAGGCATGGAAAAGGCATGGTGATGGGGAAAAAACTTTGCCTCATCAGCTTAATTTTACAGGCGGCTCTCAAAGGCACAACAATCCTACCACAAAGAAGTTACACCAAGCTGACAACACATTGCCTGTTATCAGTTTCTTCCAGACAGCAGCTGCTCACCACTTGACATCATTCTCATTCTTGACCCTTTTCTCCCAAATCTGTTCGGTATGGCGGTCTTGGCTCCTTTTCTTAGTGTGAGGTGTGTTGGTTGCAAGGCATGCAAGTTATGTCTGAAGTAAAAGTGAGGACCGGTATAACAGCTGCTGATGTCCCAAGCATATTGATGTCTCCCCTAAGCTGGAGAAAGCAATGCTATTTACCTTACTCAGTTCCTAAGTGGAAGGGACATGTGGGTTTTCTCCCAGACAGTTTCAGGTTCCAATAATACACTATTCACTTTCACTTCCCTCTCAGCTTTCAGTTTGCAACTTAATGTACACAGTGACTAAACAGTCCAGGAGGAGAAAAAGAAGGAGGAGGAGGAGATTGGATTTATACCCCGCCCTTCACTCAGAGCGGCTTACAAACTCCTTTCCCTTCCCCTCCCCACAACAGCCACCCTGTGAGGTTGCTGGGGCTGAGAGCTCATTCAAGAACTGTCCTTGAGAGAACAGCTCTGACAGAACTATGGCTTGCCCAAGGTCACCCAGCAGCTGCAAGTGGAGGAGTGGGGAATCAAACCCGGTTCTCCCAGATTAGAGTCCGCGCACTTAACCACTACACCAAACTGACAGCCAGACTCAAAGAAAGGTCCTTATAAACAGATTCTAAGGACACAATGTCACCGGAGAAAACCTCAGGACAACTCAGGATTTCTCATGTTTTAGAAATGCTGATGGGGGTGTGTGTGTGATACTGCTCAGGCCCACATTACAGAGGGAGGGAGGGCTCCCAGGGGGCCTCTTGAAAATGGCAGGGAGGAACAGCAGCTCTCCCCACACCACAGTCCCCAGCATGATCACCTGTCCCTCCAGCAGCATTTTTAAAGCAACAGAACTTCTAAAGCAAAATGACTGTGGGACCACCAGGTTTGTCCCTGTCGAGGCCATATTGTCTAGTTGTGCCCTAAGAGTTAATATACTGGCTAAGAATGTGAACGGGACATCCCAGGCTCAAATCTCAGTCATGAACTCACCAGTCAGCCTTCTACAAGCCACCAGGAGTGGGGCTGTGGCTCAGTGGCAGAGCATCTGCTTTGCACACAGAACATCCCAGGTTCAATCCCCAGCATTTCCAGTTAAAAGAATCAACTAGTTGGTGGTGTGGAAAACACCTGATAACCCGGAGAGCTGCTGCCAGTCCTTGGCAGGCCAATGGTCTCATTCAGTAGAAAGCAACTTCTTGTATATATTCTCTACTTCAGTTCTGCACTGTATCATGATTCATGAAGATAATAATCCTGCCTTACTTTACAAACCTATTAAGGATTATTGAGATAACGTATGTGAGGTATTGTGAGTATTCTGAAGTACTATGTGAATATTTAACATCA